TGTGTGTGTGTGTGTGTGTGTGTGTGTGTGTGTGTGTGTGTGTGTGTAAGGCCTATAATAACTATAATCACTGTTTGCTGCATGCAGCTTCCCTCCTCACTCTGTTTTAACCAGACCGGTAGATAAAAATACACTCGGAGCCCAAACTACGCTGAGGAGTGGAAATAAGTTTATGCTTGTGTGTGTGTTTGCATTTGTTAGTGCATTTGTTTAACTATAACCATACTTGTGAGGACTATGATGGATTTTGGAACTTTTCAGGTTTTATATATGTACATATGTGTGTTTGAGCAAAATAGAGAAAGAGAGACCTTTTTATTTATGTACATCCTGTGCACTTGAGACAGGGTGAGAAGGACCATGGGAGAGAGGCTCTGTGTGTGTGTGTGTGTGTGTGTGTGTGTGTGTGTGTGTGTGTGTGTGTGTGTGTGTTTGCGTGTGGTGTGCCAGCAGCTTGTTTCATGTGGTTGGTGATAAACTGCTGTGACATATCCCTGCTCTAAATCTCTTAAAGAAATGGGAAGGAGATGGCTTGGGAAAGGGAAGATAGTCTGAGAAAGTACACACACACACACACACACTTTGTTGCATATGATATCAAGAGATGAACAAAAGCCTACATGGTCACAAAGAGTAGCCTTTCCCCTTATCTGTAGGTATTACTGTTACTTACCAGACCTCTATATCTCCCTCTCTCTCTCTCACACACACACACACGCACACACACACCGTGCCTAGTTCTGGGTTTCCTGGTCTCTTACATACATCCCATGGGAAAGGTTTGCATGTAGTTAAACGCTTCTAACATTTTCCCCAGGGAAGGATAATAGCTGCTGACAAAGTATTTCTCAGCGCCTATGCTTACATATACAGGCTAGTAATTAATGATAGTTAGTCGTGTGAAAATACTTGACTTCCATTACAAATAATCTGACTTCTGTTCACCGAACTAAACTTCAGTATATCAGGTGTATTTTTCTGTACAATTACACCTCAACGATCTCAGAATTCTAGAAAAACAAAATATGTTCATATACTTGTTTGGTGCTATTTCAAATCTTTATATTTAGTATCCGACCTCATTAAAACACCCTAATCAGACTCTTTGCTGTAATCCGATTAAACATTTAACACAATGTGTTCATTTAAATACATGTAATCCACCCCAGCAGTCTGAGTACTCTTTAATCCGAGCGGTCAGACCGTCTTGCTGTAATCACAGACGCAGCTTGTCTCGGCATCCGTGCTGCATGCGCAACACTTGAGCGTAATATATTTGGCAGCCTTGCTTCTGCAAGATTTCTTCCAGACTGTGGCGAACTTGAGTAATTCCAAACAAATTTCGATGTAGGTGAAAACTCGAGCTTGATATTGAACATTTGGCTGCGGGGAAGTTAAATGTGGTTTCACCCGTTGTGTGTAAACAACAAGTGAAGTTAATATCCACTCAAGTATTTCCTTATTTCCTCCACACGCCAAGTGCTCTTGAGTTTGCCATAAGGAAGCGTGACATCATCGGGGCTCTTTATAATGGTTGCTAAGACTCTCTAATATGGTTGAATGAAAGTGGTATTTGACACTCCAGGCCCCACACACATGAAACCAATACATCGTTTCTCTCCTTCCTCCATCTTTCTCCATCTTGATGACGAATGCTACAGACAGACCAATATAAAGACAATGCCTCATCTGAACAACATGCCAGCATCGACTCCCCACACCATGTGTTTGGCTTTAGATCCCCGGCCTTTATAAACTTCATTGAACAAATCAGCATGCGGTTGATCCCTCATTTGGACAAATAAACTCTCACATAGTTACTTAAAGTTACGTTTTTATTTAGCTTACCCCGGAGTTTACGAGATAGGCTTTTCTATCACGATCGAGAAAATGTAGCAGGACTATTATAAACATGTTGGATTGATGCTGACTGGGCTGTAAATCACGACTGATGGGCTGCTGCCAGGATGTGTCTTTGGGTTTGTGCTTGCTACCTGTGCTTAACTCTGTACCTATGTGTGCTTTTTACATGTTTACGTACATATCTGACATGCGGTGTGCATATGCATCTTCTGTACACTATGTATTTTTGCCTGGCAGCGTGTGGTTCCCTGTGTTAGCTAAGAGTTTAGACTTTATTCTGCAACTCTCGTTACTTTTCTGTTGCAGTGTTTCTAACTGGTTTTAGCATGCTGGACCAATTTCCACTTAATATTTGGTGATTTTTGGAATATGCAATGTGGTTCTGTTGCATGATTAATGTTATAAATCATTTCAACCCTGATGTTTTTTTCACACTGATGCACCCATGCACAGTTCCCGCATGTGTAGTGAGTCTGTTATCTTTCAACCAAATGCATGCTTCTGTCCAACAAATTGTGTGTGTGTGTGCGCCTGTGTGTGTGTGTGTGCGCCTGTGTGTGTGTGTTTGTGGAAAGAGCCGGTATGACAGACCGCAGATTAATGGCTGTAATATAGCTGCATATCTGTCTAAACATTTTCTTTGAAAGAGTATTTAAAGGGAGGTCATGCCAAAACAATTCAAGTCCACATGGCAGGCTAGATATCGTCTCGTTTGAAACGGCTTCTTCAGTCCTCCTTGGTTTTTTTGTCTTCTTTTAATATCCCTCTCACTCAATCCATCTCTTTCATTCTGGGTCTCTGAGACTTTGTTTCCTCTCTCTCTGTCTCTCTCTCTCTCTCTCTCTGCCTCCTCCTTTCCCATTGCTTCCTCCCTCCTCTCTTCCTCTATCTCTCTCACATTAGCCTCTTCTTCCCTTCGATCTCCCCCGTCCCCTCCTCTCTCTCAGGAGATGTCACTCTTAACATCCTCAGACAGAAAATGTAAACATGCATATCTGCGGAGGTTTTCTCTCTCCTTTACTCGTCACCATCTGGAAAACCTTAGATCTCCCCCAAAACATGACAGCACACTCAGAGCAGGGAAGAGAAAAAACGAGATATCCAGTGAGGGCTGGAGGAGGGATGGGTTGTTAATTGTTTGTTTTGGCTCACTAGATATGGACATTTGTGAAATGCTGCGTGTCCTCAACTTTTGAAATGTTTGCTTGGTGCCAGATTCATTTGTTCAGCGCACCGATTCCTTTGTTTATACAACCAATTTTTTAAAAGTGCAAATGTCTCTCGATGTTTGAAATCTCTTTATTTCTTTCTGGCAAGCAGCTGATGTTTGCACTGTCCAGAAAATGCGATTTATCTTGTGTTTCTTCCTCTGGTTTGAACCTCCAGGTCAGCCTGGAAAGCTGGCTCTGGAAAGGTGTTCCCAACTACACAGTTGTCCCGCAGTTTGATATTAAAATTAGGACCTTTTTAAAGAAATGCTTACTCAGGTTACTTTTTTTTATTGCCTCCTTTGACAGACTGTCATTGATGTTTTCTCTCCCTTGTCTTGGCTGTTATTCCCGGAGGCCCGTCGCAGTATTTCTGCTTGATTTTATAGAATTATAAAAGTAACTCCGACTAACTGCTGTTCTTTTCTCTGTGTCTTTATGTCCGTCACTGTAGTCATCTGGAGGACAATCAAATCAGTGTTGTCGAGAGAGGAGCCTTCCAAGACCTCAGACTGCTGGAGAGACTGTAAGTACACCGGCTTATATTGCTACCTGCTCTGCGAAAGTGAGAGAAAAGAAAAGCTAAACAGCTGATGCAAACTAAAGGTATTTTAGGCACGTAAAAACCCAACCAGGCTACAAAAAAAGCACAAAAATAAACATCCTAAAATATGCATAAATGCACACCGGCAAACACGACTTCACACATAGGCAAATATTTGACTTGCTACTGCAGATTTTCCATTTCCCCAAACATACACACACCTTTTGACATGCTGTCAGTTCTGTAAAGCGCACACACACACACACACACACACACACACACACACACACACACCCACAGTCACACAAAGAGAGTATGTGGATGATACCCAAGTCCATCCACTTCACACACAACCTCGGAATCTCTCATAGATATTGTCTTGTTCAATGTGTGTGGTTGTGTGTGCGTCCATCAGCTCACACCAAGGCTCTAGTCAACAGAATCAATGTGTCAGTGCACAACACAACACTTCCCACAGACACAGACACACACACACCTGCATGTTTATGACTCTGTGTTGGAGGATGACAGACAGAAAGCTGTCCAGGACGACTGCTGCACAGTGTTCATGATGCCATCGCTTGAAATGAAAATAGAGAGCAACAGACTGCGTATTATCAGACGTTTACTCCTGAAATTCAACTTTCATTTTAAAGCTTTTTTTAAAGGTGTCTTTCAGGTGATGTTACACATAGCTCCCATATCTGATGAGGACAGCATTTCTAAACTCAGGAACTGACTGTCTTTACAGCAGTTATCGCTGGGCTTGGACAGGAGCTGAGAATCTCCTCACTGATATGATAATGTCAGTTTCTTAGCTATTTAATCCCAGGAGAGAGTAGTAGCTAAGATAATAGTAACTTGAAGTGATGCTAAAAGAAAAACTGCGTGGGGACCAGATAGATTTAAAGATTTTGTCTGCCGTGAAGAGGAGAGTTTAGAGTTTAAAAGAGCAAAGATAGGAGGAGCATGTGCCAGAGAAATACAGATCGACGAAAGCACTTAGTTCAGGTGACGGCAAATGTTGAGTGGCAGCAACATGTGTATCTTGTCTCTTAATGGAGATCACACAACCAATGGTGAAAGCGCGAGGTGACGGGCTGCTTTAATGTTAAAAGGCTCTTTAATGCGGTGTGTCAGGAAGGGTCAGAGGTGAGGGTTGAGGGGCTGGAGAGGTTAGGAGGCAACATAGCTGTGTGTCAAAACTCACACAAGAGATGGCATCCAAGGCAAGTATAGTATATATAGTAAGTGTAGTATACGGATGACTTGTACCTAATCGAAGGAAAATACAAAAGTTAATATTCTCCGTTTTGAACATATTAATAACAAAAACTCTGGTGTATCGACGATAATAATAATCAGGCTCCTGAATATTGTTTTCTTCTCTGCAGTAATAATGAAAGGCTTTTTAAAATGCTTAGTTGACAGGGTCTCTGATGTTATGGCTGTCGGGGTGAAAGTTTAGGGGTGAGAGGTCGTGGTGCTGAGTCTGTGTGATTTATGGCGTCATAATGTGAAAAACATGGAGCTTAGGTCCTCATCTCTTTAGGTGAGTACATCCATGTCTGTCCACACATGAATTATAAAGTCATTTCACCTCATGTGGTCATTAAAAAGAATCAAACACAGACTCAGAGTTGGTCTGAAGTGGCAAAATATAGAAGATTTTCATTCCTGTATGAGACTGTAATCTGTAATTGATGGACATTTTACAGAAATGTGAGTTTTTATTTTGTTTTCCTTACAAAGATATATCAAATTTCTGGATTTTTAGGTAAACTGGCCCAGTGAGATTAGTTCCCCTCAGCCTCCAAACCATTTCTGCTGGACTTTACTGTGATTCTGACTAATATGGACAATCTTCCAAATCTACAAAATATAGTGCCTGCATGGACTTGCGGCCTGGTGATGTTTCAAAGGTTCCGAGCAGAAGAAACTCGTCATTAGTATTTGAAAACGCACAAAGGATTCTTCTCTTAAAAACCGTAACTATTTTATGAGCGAACATCCTAAAATGACTCAGAACTGTAACAGTAGCCGATCAGGCGCTTATACTTTTGTACCAGCAGTTATTTTCTAAGAGCAAGGGTCAATTATTTCAAATGGAGGGTAGCTCTTTTTGGGCTGCAGCTCTCTTTCCATTGGTGCACACACAAGTGAAAGTTGGGGTCTTATTATCATTATCACAAGGGTTAAAAGGTTGGTGTCTGTGTCTTCTCCAGAACAGATTCTACTTTGTGACCCACGTGACCCCCCCATCCTCCTTTTCTTCTCTTTTTCCCCTCCACGCCTCGTCTATCAGCCAAATGCTTTGGTAGCTTGATAACACTTTCACTCCCTCCACTCACGCTGTCCTCATCTTTCTCTGCTGCAGCCAACCCTGCCCTCCTCCTGCACACACCCACACACACACACACACACACACACACACACACACACACACACACACACGCAGGCAGACACATCTTTCACCCTCACAGACATGTCTACATTGTAGGTCAACACCAGTTTGTCACTCTCTCCATCTTCCTCTGCCTCTCATTCCTTTGTAAATAACTGCAATGTGTTCATTTCATGCTCAGTTCAGCATACTCGAGCAAAGAATGGTAGTTTACATGTAACACATAGGAAGGCCTCGGGCTGTTTTCATTTTATATTAGTTGAGTAACAGTCCCATATCAAAGGAAAACAAAATGTCCCAAAAGTTCCTTGGAACCTCATTACCAAGATCACAAAACCACATAGAGGTGCTGATGTTGACCAAAAACTATTCAACTCCACAACACTGAACCCAGAGGGTCTTCATTAAGAGTTGTTTTTAATTTTTTTTTCTTCTAATAATTGACTGTTTATCCATCTGGTGATTAATGAAAGCCAGCCCATCCTACTGATGCTTTTCTTCTTAAAAATATGAACTCTCATGGGTGTATGCATACACAAAGAGTGTCTATCATTCTGGTACCCAAAATAGTGGATGAGTTTATGCACAAGATCATTTGGCTCTCCTGATTGGCCGTTACTGTTAGTCTAAAGGCCTATTTCAGAATGACGTGATCTTTAGTGCTGCCGAAAGTCCTTTATGTTTGTCACTTTCTTTCATTCACCCTTTGCCCATGTAATAAATAAATACTTGTTGCATCTGAAGAGTTTTTTCTTTTGTTATAAATGTGCAGACATCTTTTACCAAGATGTGGGACTGTTTGTGTTGGCTGCAAACATCTGACACTACTTACTGGGAAGCTAAGATTGAAGAGTGCTGAAGCTCTCAGACTTGTTTGTCTGGACTGATGTTAGAGGTGTAAGGCAGGATGGATAAGCTATCCGTTTTATTGGTGAGACATGTGAATTAAATAGGAATTCTTCAGCAAAGCTCCTGCATTCTGTGCATTTTTGTCTCATGAGGACAAATATGGACGATATGATTCGGCTTATTTTTTGCTATCTGATAACTAAGTAGTGCATGCCACTTTCTAGATGATTATATGGTTTTCATCTCTCATTAAAGTGACATTAGATTTCTTTTTTAAACTGAACTCAGCTGTCAACGAATTGCAGATGGCTGGAAGACGCCAGGAAACTAAACTTGTTCCTTCTTTCACTCCCAGGTCAAAGCACATGCGGGGATCATAGTGATAACTGGCTTTAGAGAGCTTACAGGACGATAACCTGCAACTGACACACACACACACACACACACACACAGAGCATGATAACCTGTAAGTCATGATCACAGGAAACCAGACAGACTTTCCCATGAGTTTGACCTTTGAACCGTGAACCCGCTGACCTGCAAGGTGATCCAGTGGCCTGGTCGGTGATAGTTCTGTCAACACAAAAGCAGGGATCGAAGTGATTTATGAGTGCGTGATTGTCACCGTGTTCTGTTCACGCTGAGGTTTCTCTTTGAGTTTTACAAAGTGAAACCATTTCATTGAACTATTTCCTTTCTCTTTCTGTCTCCGCTTCTCTCCACAGTCGCCTGAACAGAAACAAACTCCACTTCCTCCCAGAGCTTCTCTTCCAGTCCAACCCCAAGCTAGGACGACTGTGAGTACACCTTTCTTGTTTTTCCATCCCTCCATCACACTTTCCTCAAATCTCTCTCTCTC